CCTCCCCCCCCATATGGCCTCCCCCTTTGTCAATGTTAATGTTATGATAATCACGGTTGTTAGTATGACTTCTTTTGGTGAGTGAGTTGTGTCATGAGTTGTTTTGTTGTGTGTGGCTGAATGGTCACTGGATGACAGGAAGAGGCATACACAAACAAGTGTGTGAATACAAGGCGCGAGGTGAGAGAGTTCTTTGGAGGTGATTACGGAGAGAGTTCATGAGAAAGTTAGTTAGATACAGAGGAGGGATTTTGAATCGTGTTTCTTCTGATTAGGATATCTGGCGACCAGGTGGATCTGTGTAACAGATACGCAGACTAAAGATGAGCCATTCTATTTCGTGCAGTTTTGGTGTTCAGTGTGACAGGCTCTTAGTACACAGAGTGACAGTGTTCCCTATACAACGTTGCCATAAATAGTCAATGAGTCTCGACTAAGAGACCTTTACCAACCGTGTCATTTCATTAACACGGTTGGTAAAGGTCTCTTAGTCGAGACTCATTGACTATTTATGGCAACGTTGTATAGGGAACACTGTCACTCTGTGTACTAAGAGACCTTTACTCCCTCCCCCCCCCCCCCCTCTTGTACTAACAGTTCGATCCTCGGACCCTTATAAACATTTTTTTTTGTTGCAAAATTACAAGCCACCTCTCCCAAATCTGCACATAAATCTACCTTAAAACAGTGACGATGAAGATTTTGTTATACAAATGGTGAGGATACTGCGATACTAATAGTGATGATACTGTGATACAAATAGTGAAGATACTGTGATAGTTCCATAACTCAATATGTCAGCAACATTGATTTGGTTCTTATGTCTCAACACTAGCATCGTCCAGCCCGACTGGCTCACTGCACGACCACCGGGCCAGACCAGGCAGGCAGACATCCAAAGACAAAGTCTCCACAAACAAGAAGACTGTGACAAAAAGGCAAACACCAAAAGGCGTTCCTGGGAAATATTCCGATGCCAGGTAAGGAGATGTGTAGTTTTTGCTTGATTAGACCGGCAACCCCTGTACACCTAGGAGCGTATGCCCGTGATCAGAGGCCCTCACGTGGGCCCTGCAGCCCCTGCGGCCGCAAAGAGGTTTGGGGGCCCTCACATATTAAAGGAGCCTGAAGTTGCGGTGAGCAATTTCTTTTAAACTATTAACGTTCTTTTGCACAAACCCGAAATGTGGCAGCCCCCCCCCCCCCCAAAGTGACGCGACTGCTCTGCCCGTCAATGTGCATACTCGTGTATGTGTTTACCTTTTGTATGTGGTTACCTGTGTATGGGTTTACCTGTGTGTTTGTGTGTTTACCTTTGCATGAGTTTACTATGTCTTTGTCTACCTGTGTATGTGTTTACTTGCATATGTTTTTACCAGTGTGTGTTTACCTGTGTTTACCCGTGTATTGGTTTACCTATGCATGTGTTCAGGCAACAAAATGAAACAGTTAAAACAATAAGCAGTCACCTTTTATGTGAAAGTATCTTGAAAGAAATAATGGTGCTAAAGTTCCAAATCTGCAGTATAACGTTGCATAAACGCCCAGGGAGCTGTACCATGGAGGTACAACTCTCTCCCAGGGAGCTGTACCATGGAGGTACAACTCTCCCCCAGGGAGCTGTACCATGAAGGTACAACTCTCTCCCCTCTACCCGCACAGCTTTACTCTTACTTGTTTCGCACCCTCCCTCCCCCCCCCCCCCCCTCCTCACTGCCTATAAATCACATATCAAATAATGGCCAAACTCACACCGTACTGCTCAAGTCCGAGTTGTCCGTGACCTTGGTTTCCTCGCTGGTGTTCTCGGCGGGCCTGGTGTACGTCTCCTTCCCGCTGTCTCCGCTGGACAGCCTGACCAGCCCCGACTTGTGCACGCGCAGCTGGTGACACGGGTGCTGGTGTCGGGCGAGCCTCGTCAAGGACGAGCCGCGGGGGTGGTGGTGGTGGTGTTTGCGCGACGTCGTCCGGCAACAGCAGTAACAGCACAGCTGGCGCAGGCAGCGGCGAAATTTGTTTCCGAAGATGCTGTAGACGACGAAGTTCGTGGCCGAGTTGAGCAGAGTGCACGTCTCGCCCACGGCGCTGATCACCGTACCCGTCATTTCACAATGGGTGGGGTCCACTTCGGACTGACCCACGGGTTCGTCCGGGCACAAGATCAGCTCAAGCGCCGCAAGGAGCTGGCACAGGCAGAACAACCCAGTCAAGGTGATGATCATGGCCGTCAGCCTCGTTTGGGACTCGCCGCATGACCCCCCTAGACGCACCACTCGGCGGCCGCGCGTGCACACGCGCTGAATCATCTTGAGGTTCAGGACAATGATGAGCCCCACGGGGACGATGAAGTGGACCGCGCTGTTGAAATAGATGAGGTAGACAACCTGGAAGAAAAAACTCCGCCCGAACTCGGACCGGGTCACGCTGTGGTCAGTCAAAGCCAGCGAACTGTCGGCCTCGTTGGTGTACTCCAGGTACCTGGGCACATTGTAAATGATTGAGCACACGGTGACCACAGCCGAAGCGATCCCCGCTCTGCTTCTGGTGCATATGTTTTTCGCCTTTAGGGGCAGCAGCACCACCATGGCCCTCTCCAGCGTCACCACGACGGTCATGTAGATGGTGCCCGTGTGGGCGACATGGACCAGCACGTAGCAGTACTTGAACAAAGCCTCACGGACCGGGAAGTAGTCCTCGCAGACGTTGTTCGTCATGAAGACCAGCGGCAGGCTCTGCAGGAGGAAGTGCAGGGCGAGGAAGACGGTGTCAAACGCGGCCATGACCACCAGGAGCAGGGAGGTGGAGTTCCTCATGGCCGGAAAGAGCAGCACGATGGCCGCCGTGGCGTTGCCGGCCAGGCCGACGAGGGAGATGAAGGAGCCGCACACGCCGTTGATGTAATACCAGACCACCTCGCGGAGTAAGGCTTCGTGTTCGTGGGCGGTGTGGTCAGGCGTGACGACTTCCTGTCCGTTGATGTAACTGATGTTCCCGAACTCAGAGGGATGTGCTTGGTACAGGTCGATGACGTAGCCGGAGCTGATAGCCTGATGAACATCAGTAGAGTTACTGTTACAGGCTATGAACTGAAGTGTAGATTCGTACGTTGACAAGTCCTCCATTTAGCCTGTCTCGCAGTGATCTCTGTAGTGTCAGTAACTGACGGTAGTTCGATGCGCCCCGCCTAGCTTAGATGCGACCCGTCTAGCTTAGTTTAGGATTAATGATGCTCTCTCAGTTTTTGAAAAAGACAACTTATTTTTGAGACATAGTTGCAACATGTTAGTTCTTTTTAGGATTCGTTGGTGTTCTTTTGAAAAAAAAAAAATCCTTTTCTGCAGAATAGTGTAAGGTTAACTTATATTTGACAAATAGAATACTACATATCAGTTTAGGACTGTGCGATTAGAGGTTTGAGTGGTTGAAGACCACTTGAGAGATACGGAGCGGTTCATTTCGGAGTTAAAGTGGTTCATTTTGGAGTTGAAGTGGTTCATTTTGGAGTTGAAGTGGTTCATTTTACAATTGAAGTGGTTCATTTCGGAGTGAGTTGAAGTGGTTCATTTCAGAGTTGAAGTGGTTCATTTCGGAGTCGTTTCCTAGCAGTTCCAGCAAAATGTTCGAAAACGATTGTAAACAGATTGAAAAATCCGCCTGTAGGGGAACACACAACAGTTATAGTGAATGGTATGATAGCACAATATACAACTACATATTAATTATATGTTATTTTTTGTTTGTAACTGAATATAAAGATATATATATATATATATATATATATATATATAAATATATATATATATAATTAAATGTTTTATAACGAAATGCCAGCCCAACGGGGAGCCATAATTTGTTAAAGTATAAAATTAAAGTGATGGACATACAGCCTTAAAAAGAATTATAACTTTTTCATAGGTAGGATAGAAGGGAGGTATGTGTTGGACTGGAAATCAGGGGAGGATAGAAGGGAGGTATGTGTTGGAGTGGAAATCAGGGGAGGATAGAAGGGAGGTATGTGTTGGACTGGAAGGCAGGGGGGGATAGAAGGGAGGTATGTGTTGGAGTGGAAATCAGGGGAGGATAGAAGGGAGGTATTTATTTATTTATTTAGGCATTTTTATATAGCGCTTACCTTAAAGCTCTAAGCGCTTTACAATTATTAAAAACATGTAAACTAACTAAAATAAAAAATGAGACATTAGGATAGTAACTACTATACTATAGAAACAATTAAAATGGCTATAAAACGAGGACACTTTGGCACGTTTTGGCCTATACTACAGNAAGGCAGGGGAGGATAGAAGGGAGGTATGTGTTGGAGTGGAAGGCAGGGGAGGATATAAGGGAGGTATGTGTTGAACTGGAAGGCAGGGGAGGATAGAAGGGAGGTATGTGTTGGAGTGGAAGGCAAGGGAGGATAGAAGGGAGGTATGTGTTGGACTGGAAGGCAGGGGAGGATAGAAGGGAGGTATGTGTTCGACTGGAAGGCAAGGAGAGGATAGAAGGGAGGTATGTGTTGGACTGGAAGGCAGGGGCGGATAGAAGGGAGCTATGTGTTGGAGTGGAAGGCAGGGGAGGATAGAAGGGAGGTATGTGTTGGACTGGAAGGCAGGGGAGGATAGAAGGGGGGTATGTGTTGGACTGGAAGGCAGGGGAGGATAGAAGGGAGGTATGTGTTGGACTGGAAGGCATGGGAGGATAGAAGGGAGGTATATGTTGGACTGGAAGGCAGGGGCGGATAGAAGGGAGGTATATGTTGGACTGGAAGGCAGGGGCGGATAGAAGGGAGGTATGTGTTGGACTGGAAGGCAAGGGAGGATAGAAGGGAGGTATGTGTTGGACTGGAAGGCAAGGGGAGGATGAAAGGGAAAACGTCGAAAATGACGGTCGTGGTGGAAGGCAAACGTTCTTCATCATACAATGTTTCAATTAACGATGTTTAAAGTGGTCGCCTTGTTATCGCAAGGGTCGGACGTGTGATGAGATTATTATTAAGTTGTCAGATCGCAGTCTCCAACACTGTTTGCCTCCACCAATTAACGAAAAATAGTTAGTTGAAAATTATTTGTACTCACCTCTTTTTTAATGGCACTACTCTGACGACGATAAGCTCCAATAGCTGAGCTAGAGCAGTTGTCCAGTGGCTTAGCTATAGGGCTACAGCTTAGCCAGACCAGTTAATCCCTTAGCTTAGAGCAGTTGTCCTTTGGCTAAACCGGGACAGTTTGTTTTTTCCCCATCGCCCGGCCATGCCATCTCTCTACAAAGCCTAGAGACCGCCCGGCCACACGTTCATAGTTTGCATTAAACAACCCTTTGCTGGAACCACTGAGCGTACTCACTAACGAATCTTCAGCGAGCTAAACCCCGCAGCACATTCTGCTGACCAGCTGGCGACTGCACCTATACCGTTACACTCTTTAAAAAAAAAAAAAAAACGATGTTTTGATAACTATTTCAACGTTTTGTCTGATGTCTTTTTTTTTGCAGTGATGATCACTTAACCTTTTTTTTAACCCTTTGCTGGAACCACTGAGCGTACTCACTAACGAAGCTTCAGCGAGCTAACCCCCCCAGCACATTCTGCTGACCAGCTGGCGACTGCACCTATACCGTTACACTCTTTAAAAAAAAAAAAAAACGATGATATGATAACTATTTCAACGTTTTGACTGATGTCTTTGTTATAGCAGTGATGATAACTTAACCTTTTTTTTTTGTGTGTGTGCCTTATAATGTATTTTTAGATACGCAGTTCTCTCTTGATCTCAGGGTAACTCAACACTTGGCTTCATAGTCACAGTGTGCTGTAACTCACGACTTTGTCTCAACCAAGTACGGACACTTGAGTGTGTATATAAAAAAAAAAAAGTCAATCCGATGAGTATCCCAGCGCACATGTCCACTACCTGTATGCCAGCATCAACACTCTTGTAGGCTTTAAGTATCAGGTGTGTCTGCGCACCCCGGACGGCATCCTGGGAGGCTGATGACGTCAGGGTTGGCGTTATTTCACCATTCCCTGGAGTTTGCGGAAATATCTCACGGGGTGGGGAGGAGGAGGTGGAAACCTCCATTTAGAAATCACAAAGAAAGTCGGGACGAGAGACGGCTATCTTTATTGGTGTTGTTCTCATGGGCACTCCCATGATGTACCCTGTAAACATGAGGGTTATAGACAAACCAGAGGTTCTCACACCATGGCCGCACATTAAGCAGTGTTGGCACAGTTCAAAATGCAAAAAAAAAGCTATAATTAAAATAAATTTTTATGACTCACAATTCCAAATTACTGCCCCCCCCCCTCCCAAGCCAACGTTCTATAAAGCCAGACATTGTCAGCAGCATTCTATCGTAGAACTTCAGCTTGAGGTAATTTGTGGACTTGTTTATCAAATGGGCGGTGAAATACCAACTGAAAATCATACTCTATTCTGTCTACTGATGAAATCAATTTTCCACATTGCTATTGTTTGGGACTCACGATGCTACTGTCAACTCTTGCGTTACACTGTGTCTTTTGAGACACTCCGAAATTAAGCTTTTTTTTTTTAAATTACTTTTTTTGATACTCAATGGAATATTAAAAAAAAAAATTATTGCCTTCTTTTGAGAATCCATGAAGTAAAGCTATCCTCTACATTCCCGTATGTTTGGACTACATGAAGTAAAACTATTATCTACATTCTCATACGTTTGGACTACATGAAGTAAAATATAATCTACATTCCCGTATGTTTGGATTACGTGAAGTAAAAATATAATCTACATTCCCGTATGTTTGGATTGCGTGAATTAAAACTATAATCTTCATTCCCGTATGTTTGGACTACATGAAGTAAAAATATAATCTACATTCCCGCATTTTTGGACTACTTGAAGTAAAACTATAATCTTCATTCCCGTATGTTTGGATTACATGAAGTAAAACTATAATCTACACTCCCGTATGTTTGGACTACGCGAAGTAAAACTATAATCTACATTCCGATATGTTGAGACTGCTTGAGTAAAACTATAATCTACATTCCGATATGTTGAGACTGCTTGAGTAAAACTATAATCTACATTCCCGTATGTTGAGACTGCTTGAGTTAAACTATAATCTACATTCCGATATGTTGAGACTGCTTGAGTAAAACTATAATCTACATTCCCGTATGTTGAGACTACATGAAGTAAAACTATAATCTACATTCCGATATGTTGAGATTGCTTGAGTAAAACTATAATCTACATTCCCGTATGTTGAGACTACATGAAGTAAAACTATAATCTACATTCCGATATGTTGAGATTGCTTGAGTAAAACTATAATCTACATTCCCGTATGTTGAGACTACATGAAGTAAAACTATAATCTACATTCCCGTGTGATTGAGTCTGCATGAGTAAAGCAATCTTCCACATTGCCCGTGGGTTGAGATTCCCCGGAGTAAAGCTATCTTCTTACACTGGCGCTCTATGTGAAGGAAGGTGCGCAGATGAAAGCCCCCAGTCCCCGCGGAGCTGGTCGATAAATTACATGTTTGGAATTGTTGAAGCCCGGGGTTAGGTTGAAGGTACTCCCAAAAAAAAATTAAAAAAATTGGCGGCCAACTGTTGTAGGACCATCAGTATTAGGGGTACCGACCTCAGGGTAGCGGAGTTAACTAGCAAACTATGGTGTACGGTTGTGACATTGTGGACTAGGATCCTCGTCTTTGTGGTGCACAGTTTGGTGGAAGCACAGAAAATATTGAAATATTCAAACACGACTTCCTTCTTTATAAATATATTCTAAATATGAATGCAGTTATCAAACCTTTCAATTAACAAAAAAAATGATTTAACGACTACATTTTAAAGAAGTAAAAAAAAAAAATGTATTAAAAAAGATAAACACACCGGAAAAAACCAAGAA